TATCGATTAGTTTGATCAGATATAAAGTGAAGTTCGATTAAAAGTAGAGATATGAACTTATTATAACAGATAAATTATTATCTTTGACCAACAGAGACGATATAAGAACTTGTTTGTTCTAATTAAACAAAAATTTCTTGCTTGTTGGAATATATATTTCCATATTATTCTCTGTAACAACATGTTTATGGTCATTTTAGACAGTGTACATTACCGTCGATCTAACCACGCACCTTAACGCTTGTCCTCTCTATTACATTCTGCACATGTTTCTTAATCCTGCTGAAAGCATTCTTATTGGTGTATTGGTCATTCCATTTTTTTATACTTTCCGTTTCCACTCATTCTATGTAAAAAATGTGGCCATCCATATGAATATATGCGTATATTAACTTGATGTTTTTCGATAAACAGAAAAGCTATTCAGGTAATGTATTTATTGCATGTGACGTTAAATTTACAGTATATATTACACAGATGGTTTGCAGAAAAAATAGTTATCGAAACGAAAGTTTCTGGTTAATGGTATTTTAAGAGTCTTTTGATTACCGATTCATCTTTTTCTATGTTTCAGATGTGTTATACCCCCCCCTCTCTCACACACACACACACAAAGGCGCAGGCGAAAGGTAGATTAAGTCATGCATAAATACAGTTTGGTCTTATCAGTATTGATAGAGAAATCATCGAAGAAGTTTCCCTTATGATCAGAGACTGGAGAGTATCGTGTAGTATTTTTGGATCCGCCACTATAGCAAGAAGATTGCTACAACCTGTAATTAAGGAAACTAGTTGGTTTCGGCATGGGGGAGAGCTACAATTCTTATGTAACACAATCACGCTACAACCTGTAATTAAGGAAACTAGTTGGTTTCGGCATGGGGGAGAGCTACATTTCTTGTGTAACACAATCACGCTACAACCTGTAGTTACGGAACCTAGTTGGTTTTGGCATTAGGGAGCTACATTTCTTGTGTAACACAATCACGCTACCACCTGTAGTTACGGAACCTAGTAGGTTTTGGCATTAGGGAGCTACATTTCTTGTGTAACACAATCACGCTTCAACCTGTAGTTACGGAACCTAGTAGGTTTTGGCATTAGGGAGCTACATTTCTTGTGTAACACAATCACGCTACAACCCGTATTTAGGGAACCTAGTAGGTTTGGGCATTAGGGAGCTACATTTCTTGTGTAACACAACCACTTGCTTAGCAGAGCCAAACCGCAAAATAACTATACAAATATTGTAAAATGTTAACTTCAAATCAAAGAAGGTTAAGTTATGATCAATTTAGTGAAAATCCGACACATTATTTTCTTTCTGTTCTAACATTCCGATATATATACACACACACATATATATACGTATTCTAAAGATGGATTATTAAATAAATATCTTGACATGGAACCATTAGAGTAGTGATTATCATATCAGAAAATTTTGATGATGTGAGAAAACAGAAGAAAAGAAGACTCGTCAACCATTCGTATTTATAAACAAATTTATAAAGTTGGTTTTCTAGTAGTCTCAAGTTTTAATTTGACACTTGTCGCTTCAAGATAGTTAAGAATTACAGTTTCTGTACGTTAAGATTGACCATGCTGTGATTTTAATGTAAAGACCACTGAAATGTAACTTACTTAAAAGATACATTCAGATTATATCTCGAGAAAACAACAAAAAAAAACCACATCAGACTTAATTCAGTGTGACATCATATCCTTGCACTTTACAACTTCGTAGTGTTTGTTTGTAAGAATTTCGTATTTTGCATAACAACTTATTAAATTAAACGTTAGAAAATATAAGCTTCATTCTTGATATACTCTTAACAGTTGCTTATGTTCGTGGATTTTAAACTGTACTACAAAGATCAGGCTTATATGCTTAATCTTGTGGTTTATGCCTAAAAGATTATGAGGTAACTGTTTTGTACTAAATTACATAATTAAACCTATTATACACATTTGACTAATTCATACATAATAACTAGTTATTTCCTTTATAGATACTTCTAAGTGGTTAGAAATGTCCTTTCAACTAATCTTATAATAAATTAAAGTTAATTGTGATCCTCAAAACAAGACTTGCTGGAGATGAACTAAACATGTCTTTGTTCAGATATGTATCTTTTAGGGCTATGCAAATGCTACATACCTTACTGCCGTATGATTTCTTATTCACAATTTTCTTAAATTCTGATTTAGGACATACTAAATCCGGTTGAGATATGCGCTAAATTCAGCCTGGGATATTACTTTCTGTAAACTCCCTGGTCAAGGAACTTATCTACTGTTTCGTGGGACAGTTACATTGTATTTGTCTTCATCTTTTATGTGTGAAGGAATACCTCCTGAATATTATATGGAGTAGAGATACTTACGTATTTTAGTACCCGTTTTCATATTGCTGAACTACAGAGAGCCCATGTATTGTGAATGCAGTTTGACACTTTCACAAGGAGTTTTGTTCCAATGTTTGAGGAAGGAACTATTTTCGGAATCAAGATTTGCTGTAAAAGTCCTGTCTTTATGACACTGCTTTCTATATCTGCTTGTCATGATTGTTTCATTTGTTCTTCCATTAATTTCTAAGTTAAGTTTGTTTTAGTTCATTTTTTTTAAATACAGTTTATTTAATTTTCTTTTATTTCAGCCTTTACTACACGACTCAGTAATATATACTACTATAGAATCATCTGTATTCTTCTTCCAGCCATAATAGAGTATTTTACTTTACTCAGATTTCTACAATGTATCTTCTGGCTTTCATTTCGTCTATAATATATTGCCACACCTGTACTTCTACATAATGGGTGCACGAACCTCTAGTTTTTGTGAAGGTCGAGTGTCCGTGTGCTAGATTAATCTTGAGACTACTACAGATTGAAACAGATCTGGTGCAGTGATTACGACCTAAACTGCAGAAGTATTAGCTGATTTTTATATTCAATCTCTTCAGGTTATCTTCTGCTCTCCTACACTTTGTCAGATGCCTCAGATTTTTATCCAGCTGGCTTAGCAGCTGGATCATGGACTTCCACATCACGTATTATTGGTCATATCGTTTGGTCTTAAGCAGCTCAGTTGAGCTTGAAGGACGGGTAGAAAGGTGCTAAAAAGGCGTGACTGACCGTGGATTCACCGAGACTCATTGGGGTGATTTCTACACTGACCATTGGAGATTGAAATCCAACACTGTTGACTCCCCTCGCTGGATAACTGCTTTGGAAGTGGTCAGAGACGAGCTACAGCGGATCTACCTAGTTTGACAAACCTACTCCCAAAGGCATGGTTACAATAACAGTAAGCACGTCTGTCCAGTAACTAAAGACTTTTTACTCTAAACTGGTGATTAGCTTATAGTGACTAGAGAAGCTCAAATTTTCATCATTGTTGGTACTACTACCAATCACGGTTCAAGTATCAGCCATATTTCATTTATTGGTTTGAAATTATGGCAGAACAACGTATAGAAAGACCGTCAAGATTGATAATAGGTACAGTACCGGAAGGAGAAGTTACTGAAGCTTGTGTTACCTTGGCTACACTAACAAACTAAGATTGATGATCCTAGGTTGTGTATACACAATCTAAGTTCAGATTATCAGAGAAATCTCGAGAGGCTACTGATGGATTGTGCCAATGTATATGTCGGAACAGACATGGATAGGAAGAACAAACCTTACCCAGCATTACGTCGATTCGTGAGGCACGTGTCTGATAAAGCAACTGCCATGCATGCTTCTTTGCATAATCAGGATGTGACCAGAGATGAGATAGAACAGATACTTAAGGGAAGAATAATCCAACCTTCAAAGAGTGTTTGTTCAGCACCAGAAATTATCTCTAGAAAGTAATAAGGTACATCAGGGGCCTTTGTGGTCTCCAGGCATTTGAACTCAGTAACACACATCAGTATCTTTTAATTAACACACGTCAGCATCTTTCAGTTAATACACGTCAATATCATTCAGTTAACACGCGTCAACATCTTTCAATTAACACACGTCAACATCTTTCAATTAACACGCGTTAACATCCTTTAATTAACACACGCCAACATCTTTCAATTAACACTCGTCAACATCCTTCAATTAACATACACCAACATCTTTCAATTAACACTCGTCAACATCCTTCAATTAACATACACCAGCATCCTTCCATTGCTATGCACGCATGAACGTACTGATGTGTTGGCAGGATCCTGGTTTTCAGTTCACTAGATCTCACGTATGGCTACTAGAATGTTGAGAAAAGCAGTTCAAAAACTGCTTTCAGCACTCAAAAAGGAATTTGTTAATTTCACATTCTGCCATTCAGCCTTTGTAATGTACCAGCAACTTTTGATCAATTGGTGCAACGTGCATTACATGGTTTAGAATGATAACATTGTCTAATCTACATAGACGATATTTTGATGTTTGATCGCACATTTGAGGCTTCATATAATAATCTAAATATGGTGTTTCAGTTTTTGATACAAGCAACTCTGAAACTGAAACTTGAGAGAGATAAATTCACACAGATACGTGTATTTTTTGGACATATTTCTAAGTAGGAATGGATTGTCTATAGATCCTGTGAACATTTTAACAGTGGTAGACTGGCCTACATCTAAAAACACAAAATATATGGAGATGATTTTATTGACTGAATTCCTGCAGAGATGTCGAGCAATGATGTAAGTACTGTAGTTTCTGTATGACCCAAGTTAAAACTAATAATGTTAGGAAAGACTCTACCAACGAGTTGTAGGTTGCCGATGTCAGTAAATACAGAGAGTAATAATTCTGAAAACTAACCATGGTAATTGTTACGTGTTGGTGATAATCGATTATTTCACAAAGTAAGTAAGATTCGGTATTTCCTTTTTAGTCCAATAACACTTAGAAATTTGAGAACATTTCCCAACATAAAATAGTTCTTATCTCGTGCTGTGGGATAAAAGGCGCAGAATTTAATTTAGTTCAATGGTCTGATTTTTCTTTAAGTTACGCATTATGGACGACAAGAGCACTGGCTACAGTACTCCTTGAGGTCAAGAGAGGGGTCAACAACTTTCGCAGTTAACAACAAGCCAGGCAGCAGCATTGATGACACGGTATTGTATATACAGTCTATCTCTCGAGACTTTTGCTGCAATGATGAAATTGTAGATACAGATCTAATATTGTATTTTTATTTCTAATTTCTTTTGCTAATCAGTACAGTATCATGTTGTGTACCGTTCTCAAGATATCTGTAGAGAGAACAGAACCCAACCACTTTAGGTAGATGCTCATAATTTTGAGAATTGTATGGAAGGCCGTCAAAATTGCTATAACAGAACGTATTTGTTTGTATACGGTATCTGTGAAAGTGGTACATTTGGCTATGCATTGAAGATGTAGGAAACTTTGTTGTACGATTGGAATATGGATTCCACTATTCACTACTTAAACTGAAACTTGAACTCTTGATTGGTCTATGGATAGATTGACCTTACTGCTTTCTTGGTTTATCGTTGTTGCAGAGAACCGGTCAAAATAATAATTTTCACTTTGACCTCAAACATGTTCAGTTATGAGTCTTTCCTTAGTTCTAATTATTACTTTTCAGTTTTTTTCGTCTATAATGAGAAACATTCCGAATTTGGAACTGATCCCAACCTCAGGACTTAGTCAGCATGCTAGTTACGACAGGTTGAGACGATTCCTGAGAAGCTGTCTGTGCTGAGATATCTAATACCATGGTCGAGATTGGAGCAGAAATCGAAAATGATGGTGGTATATTAAGCAGCTGTTATAGTGATACCTATAGTTATACTTAGAAAAACCAGTGGAAAGTACATCTGTGCCATCTTATGTACGTTCGCAAAAATATTTCGACTGCGTATTACACGGTTCACCCCCAAAGGTATTCCAAATATCTATTCTAACTATGTAAATACGTTTGATTAAGCTCAAGTTAATAATGAATATTTGAGACTATCAGATCTCATACGGTATTCCACCTCCAAAAGACACACATCCGGTATTGCACATTTTACGGAATATTCACAGCCGTATGAGAAATCCAATGATACTTGTCAGCTCAAAAACTGAAAGAACAAGAGGAGATACGATTATTTTTTTTTTTTTTTGTGTGTAGATGGAGACATTTTTACTAAACTTTGCCTTAGATCATGGTATTTTTATAATACAATATCTATAGAGATTCTCGCACAGTCAGCAATAACAAAGAACTGTAAGAACAACCAGCAGACTTTCTGTCAAGGTTGCAGATATTTCGGAGAACATACTTTAGAAGAATCAAATTCAAAGCTTACCTGCTAGTAAGATAGCAAAATGATGGACCTGCTACCAGTGCGGCAGATATGGATGTGATCATCACTGGATACCATTGCAGAGCTTGCAGGCCATAAAATAGGCCAAAGAAGAATTTCCGCCAATGCTAATAAAAATACCTAACGGCCGAACACAAGCACGTCTATCTACAGGCCATGTATGTTCATAAAATTGTCGGGAGACGTGGATAGCCATGGCCAGAGCTAAGACTTTATTTAGTTTAGTTTGTTTGAAATCAAGCACAAAGCTACACAATAGGCTATCTGTGCTCTGCTCATCACGGGTATCGAAACCCGGTTTTTAGCATTGTAAGTCCGCAGACATACGGCTGTCTTACTGTGGGGAAGGGGCAGAGCGATGAGAGTGGTTAACTTCGGAAAGATAGAAAAGCAACATGACCAATATATCCATATAAAAAGCCACGGCAAAAGACTTCTCGAAGAATGAGACTGACCGGTGGGACAGCGGTAAGTCTTCGTATTTACAATGCCAAAATTAGGGGTTTGATTCCTTTCGGTGGATACAGCAGATAACCCGATGTGGCTTTGCTATACGGAAACATACACACAGCTCCCCACATTGCATGATTTTTAAACCTTTCGATCCACAGCTCAACATGTTAATCAGTAAACCACGCCCGGTTTGTACAATATCTCAGCTACAGACTTCAAAAGAACTCTTAAAAATTATACATGAATAGATATCTTTATATGTAGCTTTTGAGATAATAAGCCTATCATAAGTGCTATGAAAAATGACAAGAATCTCAAATATCCAAGTTTGAGGGTACTTGGCGAATTATGAGTTGCTAGCCGTGACTTCAAACGCCCTGTTTTTTGGTTTTTATTTTTAAAAAAAGAATGGACTGGGTGTGACCTGTTGAATAGCGTGTTCGGTCTGTGAATCCGAGGGTTTAAAGTTCATAGCATGTTGCTTCAAAAATGTAATTTGCACTTTGAGGGTGTGGGTATGCTTTAAGAGAATAATTTAAAGCCCACTATTTAGTCAGACAAGAGAGTTGATGGTGGGTTTTGTTGCCCGGCTGCCCTCCCTCTAGTCTATTAGTTCAAAATTAGGGACAGTTATGAGCAGATAGCACTTCTATAGCTTTGCGCGAAGAGTTTGAAAAAAAGCAACAAAAAACAACAGAGGATAAATTGAAATTACTTCGTAAAAAGTCTCCAAAATTGAGTTAATTGTTCGTAAAATCAATAAAGAATGTACAGAATCCAAGCAAGTGACCATCAAAGCCACGGACAGGAAGTCAATAAAATCGTTAAAACTACTGAGTTGTTTGATGAAAGTGACAATTATTTTTGAGAATCCTACTTCCGGTTCAAGTATTTTATGCTATAAAGTAACTTTTCTTTCATTTTTTTGTTATTCGATTAATAAATATATAATATGATCATTTTTTGTATTGTCTTGCTTTATCAAAGCAACTGCAAATATAAAACACTGTTGGGTTAACCGAGGTGATAGAAAATATTATCAAATATATCACAGATAACTTTTATAATCAAGTTATTTAATGAAGTTTTTGTTTATTTGCTTTTGTACACGCACAGGTTTAAGTTGTTAATAAACATTGTTTGTATTTAAATATAACGTTCTTATTCGAGCAACATGACAGTTTTTGTACACGTGCAGGATTAAGTTGTTAATAACCATAGTTTGTATTTAAAAATAACGTTCTTATTCGAGCAGCATGACAGTTCTTGTACACGTGCAGGATTAAGTTATTCTTGATCCAAGCATCATGCTTTTCTTTTTTATACATTCCAAGTGACCAAAATGGTGCCTTAGCTATGTAAGCTGTTCATAACACCCAGAATAATACCATCTGAAGATGATACTTGTGAAATGTAGAATAAGTAGATCTTCAAGCAGTGCCTGGGACATTCTCAAGTTTGAATAGTTTGTTAATTAAATGCACTCTTCTGATATTAATCGCACGATGTAATATGAAGAAAACAAATTATGGCTTACATGAAAGTATCGAAATGAACATCAGAATAATTGAGAATCATATTAAAGCTAACAATTTTACATTTTGATAACTTAAATTTCACTTGACAACAGTAATATTAATAGTTATCCTGAAAATATAAATAGTGATACATGGATAACATAGCGATTACCGTACTGTTGTTACTTTTCTAAATTTTTGTTAAAGTTACGTGACCAAAACAAAGCAAGTTCTTATATCTATGTTCTTCACAACTCTTGTGTCTAGTGACTGAAATCACGTTCTGAGCAAAGTTACAAGAATGAACGCCTTGGTGAAAAGATGCAGAGCAAAACATTGACGGTATATAATTTATAAGTTTGCCAAAAGATTTAAATTTTATTCGTTTGTTAAGCAAAATCTCTATATATATTTGTTTGCACTTTATTCGCTTACAACTAGTTTACTTCGTCTCGCAAGTTTTGAAAATCGTTTTCTGGTATGATAGAAGTTAGGCGTTTCAGTTGATTAGAACATAAACAATGAATATGTTGAGGTATAATATGTTTTGAAGCTCCTTTCATGATAGTTTGGTTAAAGAAAACGTCGTTAGTATAAATAAAAGAGCATTTGATTTGATTGTTTCAGAAGTTCCCATAAAGCTACACAAGGGCTATCTGTGCTATCCGTTCCTAATTTTGAACTGATACACTAGAGGGTTTGTTTATTTCTTGAATTTCGTACATGGCTACACAAGGGTTATCTGTGCTATCCGTTCCTAATTTTGAACTGATACACTAGAGGGTTTGTTTATTTCTTGAATTTCGTACATGGCTACACAAGGGTTATCTGCGCTATCCATTCCTAATTTTGAACTGATACACTATAGAATAGACTATAGAAAAAATAGCAAGCCAACAGCATCTACCTCCAACTCTTGGATTACTCTTGTCAAACAGAATATTTGGATATGAACGTCAGTCTTATAACACACCCAAAGTGCAGAACACGATTCTTTTTTTCAGTGGTAGCGAGATACGAACCACGGAATCTTAGATCTATAGTATAAGTACGCTAACAACTAGCTCTCGTCTATACAACTATACAGCAGCATCCACAGTAACCTCTTGGACTACGCTAATACAAAAGTAGGATTTTACTATCATTCTTATAACGTACCCATGGCCCCAAAGTGGGGAGTACAATTTAATAACAAAAGATCGCTAACTTTGGACCGTTGGATTCACAGTTAGGCACGGTAGCTACTTAGCTACGCCCAGCCCATCGAGTAACACATTTGTTTTATTTGTTTTACCTCATTAGCAAACATTTTAATTTCGAATGTATAATTTGTTAAATAAATTAAGAAATTGTATAAATGATACATTGTTAATACCTAAACTGCACGCAGAGTTGATGATTTCAGTTCATAATTAATCAGATAACTAAAGTACTTGTCTGAAAATATGAAAAATGATTTTACATTTAAAAGCTCGCTTAAATAACACTTATGATCAATAAAAAATGCACATGTTCATTCACTATGCATAGTGTGATTCGCGCATCACATTTTTGATTTACTACTTTGACAGAAATGATGCTCATTTTCAGATTCAGGCCACACTTCAACAAAAGTGTCAGATCAACTATTCATGATATTCTGCTGAATAGAATTTAATTTAGAATATCTGATATCTTCTCAGGAAACTGTGTGCATCGGAAACCTCCTCCTTTATTCACAGGAAAAATTCCACAGAGAATATTATCACACAGAATGCGATTTCCATGAACGTCAGGGAAAGTTGGTGAAAACCGTATATTGAATGG